ATCAACACAATTAATTGCATTCTAATATCGAATAAATTTGTTTATCATAATCATCATCATCATCATCATTATCATTAGCATCACATATTATCATTCCAATATTATTATTGAATTTACATGGCAAAACAATATCATTAACATTACTGATATAAAAAAATAAAATAAATGAAATTCCATATAAAAATGTTAGCAAGCAATTTGGAAGTAGTTGTAAAAATATTCACATTACGACTCAGAAGATTGATTACGATTTATATCTGGAATATTTGCATATCAGTTTATTATTAAAAGTTGTAAATTACAGAAATCCCCCTGACATATACGAAAAGCTTTATCAATTCATTTTATTATTTTTTTGTTTATATATTTTTTTATTGCTATAACAATAAAAAGTCGTGAGTAATCTTATCAGGCGGAATATACATTGTTATGCTGACAGAGCAAGCGCCCAGCAAATCGGCAAATATGATTTTTTTACAAAATAAAATTGATGAACTTCAACTGTCAATACTTATGTCTAAAATAATTAATTAAGAACAAAATTGGACACTTCAGACTCAGATTCAGATTAATAAAACATTAAATACAACAAAATCAAAATTTTTATATATGAAACATTTGGATCCACACCCAAATTGTATGGATAATAAATGAATTTCTATTATGTGTAAACAAATAATAAATATTCCTAATTTATGGTTAGAGGGATGGTTTCGATAGTGCTAAGAAGTGAATACACAAAGCACATTCAATTTGTACGCTGTCATGTCGTAATCAATGCAAGTTGTCTCACCGTCTCTACATAGCACGGTAAATAATTATCTAGCATCCTCAGGCACTAGCATCCAAATGAACTAATAATACCGAGGCGAGCCGCATCATGTTTGTGGAAGTGGACAGTTTAGTCACCGCTGCATAAAGTCATCAAGTGAACAACACGTTGAGCCGAAGCCGAAACCGTAGGCAACAGCTTGTTAATTAGTAATTTCTACTTGATACTACTGTTCCAAAAAAGATAATTTTAAGAAAGAACCTACTTATTCTTCTAGTGCTTCACAAATATATATCTCAGCAACGTTGCAGTTATTAGAGCCCTTCATCTGCGTTGCATACGTCGATGCATTTCCTTGTACCATGAACATATAAACAAATACAGAAATAACATATATCTCCGTGATATAGAGTATCAGAAAAGTCTTCCTCTTCTTCACACCGAGGCAGTATTTTTTCTAAAATCATAATTTATTTACGACAAAGTTCTTCATAAGCTTTCACTTGATATCCTGAAGATGAAAGAAGTCTCTCTCTTACATTAAAACTATTCTGATCCATATAGTGTCTGTATATTGCCAAACAGTTTCTAGTCACGCATATATACATTTGTCTCAAATGTATGACCCAACTACAGCTTTTCATTATATGACATCAATTAATTGTGTTAATGTGCAAAGAAACACACAAGTTTGAGAAACACTGATCTATAGGTTCACTCTGCTGAGGTGGCCAACTGAATCCAGATAGGTTAAAACCTCCAACCTATCCGTTTCTTGTTGTTGTTTACAAGAACAGCATTACAATTAATAGCATAAATATTAAATGCTTAAGACTTTAACTATCACATTTTGTTATTGTTTCCATCAATCCCGCATATATATGTACTTATGTAAACTGAAAGCACAATTAGAGTTGTGCCGATACAAATACTGTAAGACATATTTAATGAAAATGAGTGAAAATATATTTTCATATAACTTTTGTATGACGTCATGATTTTTTTCTTGAATACAGGGTAGGACAAAAGGCACTTAGTAAGTTTACTATTCTAACCGAATCTAAAAGATAAATTTGTACTTCAAACAGATGAGCTGTGCATTTCTTACTTTTCTTAATGAATATCATTGAGGCTTAAAATATTATAATTCAATAATTCGAATCTATTTGTTTCAAATACTGAGGAAAACCAGACAAAGTGCTCTATGTTGTCCACATTTTTGAGATTATTGTAGCCATGTATTGTCCACCTGTGTAGCTGTGTAGTGACCTAAGATGACGCAGAACACTGAATACGTTTCTCTTTAATTGCATGAGAAATTTTACCAATTTATAGTAAGATTATTTTACAAAGCCTAACGTTACCTTTAAATTTTCTTTTTCGGTCCATCTTCCAAGAAATTGTATAGAGCTTACTACGAGAATAGATTTTATATCAATAAGTGCCCCATCAGAGCCTTTGTTAGACAAATTATCAGCTACTTTCTCTAACACTATAGTAGTCTGATATTTATATAAGATATGTTATAGTTTGTTACATTTTATATGGGCGCGCTGCGCTGTTTAACTTTATTTTACATTCTTTGAACATATTTAAGGAACTTGAGGGGTTAGGAAAAGCTTTATTGGTTATTACTGCAGAACTCTATATATTTTCTAAGCCAACCAGCAAAAAAACTTCAGTTTGGCATAAACTTCTGCCGGATGTGATGAAATTCAGTCATGCATGATTAATTGGTATATAATAAGATTATAAATAGAAGTTAATATTGTTTATATTAAAACTGCAGTCTTAACAAACATAAAAATAATAGCAACACGTTAAAAAAATTGTATAAGGACTACAGTGATAAGCGTAAGCAGTTTAAAATAACTTGTAGATAAAAGTTCAAAACTACGAAACCAAGCTTTGACCCAACAAGGTTTCTTAGACTAATAAAGAAACAACGTTTTAATGGGTTTTATAATAAATCCGTTAAAAACTACTTAATCCTATGTATCAAAAATCAAAATATGAAAAAAAACTCCATTTTTTCCTGACAATTTGAAAGAAAAAATATTAAAAACTGTGAACAAATAATTTTTCAAAGTTTTGAGAAAGTATGAACATAAAGAAATACCTAATGAGTTTATAAAAATATCATATAAGAACAACATTTCATTCAAGATTAGCATAAATAAATAAATGCAATAAATATCAAAAAATTTGAAAAAAACGTATACATAATTAAATGACTATAAACACGTTATCACAAAGCAGCAGACTCAGTCATATCAACAGTCAGTCATATTCTAAGTAATTTATTGACGTCATTGATAATTTTTTTTAATTAGAAACGAATTGCCTAGATTGTGCAGCTTAAAATTAGTATGCAAAGTAGCCAAACAAACATTAAGATATATAAATATGGCCTCAACACAAAAGGAACGGAGGTTTGAGATGTGGAAGAGCGTCTTTTATAATTATTTTATTGTTTTTTAAAATATTTTCTATAAAATTTACAAGTAATAGAAACGAATTACGAAATGCATAAATAAAAATAACGTACCTAAAATGTGCAGTTGCTAGAAGCAAGCTAGCAAGATCTTGAAGCACCTTTCGTTAGTAATGGAATGATCAAAAGGAAAAAGTTGAGATTTTAAATTAAAATTTAGAATTTATCATTTTAATTTTAGTGAATTTGAATTAAAATATTTTTTATGAAGCAATTTAAATTGCTTGCTGGGTAGCAAATTGTAAACATTCATAAATAATTAAATTTAAAGTAGAGTTTGCAGTATTAGTGATATTAATAAGTTCTCTTTCGAAAAATTTTCAAGACTTGATTTCGAAAAGAATAATGTGGTATCTTGATTTCTTGATTAATTGATATCTTTTTCTTGAAGAAAAAATATTGAAAATTAATTGCTTGAGTATTTGTAGACATATTTTGCTGCCACGTTTGATTTCGTACTTTGGCGACTTGTTACTCACTTGCACTCCACGTAGTTTTTCTTCCAAAGCACTGAAAGCCAACTGCAACGCAGTGTGTTCATCCAACATCGTCATATTCAGTTTCTTCAGTTCCTCTAGATTTGTTTTCAACATTTGCACCTCCGCACGTAATGAGTTATTCGCAGATTGTTGCTCTGTCAAACTAATAAGGATTTGAAAAAATAAGAAAAAATATAATTGTTTTAAGCAGGCAAGTTAAACACTCACGTCTGTTCCTTTTCGGAAATGATTTTGTTTTGTTTGTCAACTTTAACATTTAAATCGACAATTAATTGCGAGTTTTCCCCTTTCCTTTTGTGCAGCTCGGTTAATTCTTCCTGTTGCGCCAGCAGCTTCTTTTCCAGTGCACTAATGGCGAGCTGTGCACCTGTGGTATCTTTGCCGCCACCTGTTGAGAGCGCCGTACGCAGTTGCTCATTCTCAACAGATAACTTTAAATTATCCGCTTTTAATTGTGTTACATTGTCCAGCAGCTTGTTATCTAAAGAATGCATTTATTAATTACAATTATTTCGGTATATTAAAAATAGAGTAAAACACCGCAACAGCTCCAATGTTTTGTATACGCGCAGCAACGACCTTGAAGCTGCTGTCAACGGTGCTGCGCCACACTTACTTTGACCTATGATGTCTTGAAAGTTTAGTTTCTGTCTGCGGTCCCTCTCCTGCAGGCGTGCTATAAGAACTTTGCGCCATTCTGGTTCCTCTCCAGCCATTGTGCAATGTGCAGGCGTGGCCGCAGTAATCCACAACCGTCAACAAAACTGTTTTGCTTTCTCGAATCTTTCGTCACAACGTCGTTGCTTTCACTTCCCCCGCAAATTATTTCCCACTGCCAAACGTGTATATTTTAATGATTTGTGTATTTCTCATAATAAAAGGCTTTCTCAGGCAACTTAAATATGGTTTTATTATGATTATAAAAGCTAATAACAATCCGTTGACTTACAAGCGACACAAAAACACGATCTATTGTTTTGACTTTTTGTCAGTCACTCAAAACAATTCCAACAACTACAAATGTCAAAGGAATGCTCTCATGATTTGTTCGCAAAGTCTGCCAGAGAGAAAAATAAAAACAGCTGACAGATGGTAAAGTGCCATCTGCCTGTGAAGCTTGTACTCTACACAAAAAATATATGAAAATAATTTAGTTATTAGAAATAATTTGAAATGAATAAATATTATATGTTATGGTTATAATGAATAAGTGAAATAATGTAGAAAAAAGTAACTTATTTAACAAGTGACTGGAAACAAAGTTTCTTATACATATGCGCTGATCTATACAAGCAAATCGTAATGTTTGTCTCCGGAATGATGCTATTTTGATGTAAACTTTATAAAAATTGTGTATTTTAATTTTGTTATTACACTTAACTTTAAACAAAGACGTCACCTTTTTAAGTATTTTGTTTATCTTTCTTTTTGCTTCTCATGCGAAGGGTTAAGTTTGCATGAAAATATAAATAAAAGATGAGACTCTTCGACGTTCTTAAAATGTCACTTCAACCGGAAATATTTTTAAAATGTATGTTTACATTAATTAAATAAATATTTTGAAATGCCTTTCATTATGGAAGTGTTATTGCGAAATAAGTGTGTTGATTTAATAGTTTTGTTTTGTAATTTTCAATAATTCTATTTTATGTATTCTAAAACCAAAAAGAAGTGATTATATTTGATTGGAGCAGTGTTTCTTAAAAATGCTATTAAAATTAATTCTCAACACATCTAAAAAACTTAAATTCAGTATTATTACTTCTATTCAACCCTAACTCTCCGTTGACAATATAATCTACAGATAATGCACTGCAAAAACGCTAGCGGAAAACTCGCCACTGTTTAGTTTACTAAACTAAAATGTGGGAAGAGGCCATCTTAACCTGCGTTACCATCTCAACAAGATGGATGGATTCACAATAACGAAATATCGTCTTTTTTCCAGAAATTACATAGAGCTTCTAATAATATTATTTTTGTCTTTTCGGATTGAAATTGAACCAGAAAATGAATTACTGATATCTATTACTTATATTAGAAACTTTTCAAAAAGAGAGATTGTAGCCATCATTTGAAGAATGAATGTCTTCTATTCGTTTAGAGTGAGTTCACATAAGATATACAATGATCGCAGTGCTCCTATTCTGTTCGGTTTCATATGTAATGGAAGGATGGAAGGATGGAGTAATTCAATTTTAATCAGAGGAAAGTACAACAGATTTGAACTCAGGTGCTACTATTTTTTTACTATTTTTACTATTTTTTTACAATTCATTTAGTAAATGTTATACATGCATTTATATAGACTTTATTTCGTCATGACGGCAAACTATATCTGTATATAGCTTTTACTATATTTTTTTTTTAACAAAGTGGAAATAAGATTATATTAAGTTCTTTGAAAAAAAATTCTAAAATTCTGGACTTTCGTTCTTTATAACATAACTAAAAATCTTTCTACATAATTTTCTTCTATTTAAGAATAAGTAAGTTACAGAAGGATGACAGAAATATTTATTGCTATGTTATCGTCCGCCGCTTTCGCTAGAAAGTGCCTAGCTTCCATAAGCTTTTAGTTCCTCCAAACTCTATTCGACATTGGCCTTCGAATTAGTTTGCCGAAACTCCGCTCAAGTGAGTCTCTATATGCATTCCACTAGACATGGACATATATGCGTTCCTTCTCGACGTAATAGTTATTAATTAACTTAAGTTTGTCACAATATAGCCTCACATTACTTTACTTTTTGAGGTTTTTACTTTTTCTAGAAACTGAGGCATATTCACCATAAGTCATTATGCATTTTAACTATCGATTTTCTGCACATCTTCTACACCATGTATTTATTTTCCTCGTGGTTTTTTCCTTCTTCTAACCTCTCTTAAGTTACTTTTTGATTTGATCGTATGATCTTTGTTTCTGCTTTTGTGTACTCAGAGAAAGCCATTCTAGTCTTACCATTATTTACACATAATTAACACAAAATCCATATAAAAATATGTTCATGTTGGGTATGTAGACAAAGCCCCAAAATGAACCGATGTGGTTTATTAAAACACATATAACACAATTAATCAATTACATTATTATTTTATTTTAATTTTTCAAATAAACCAGCACCAATCTTTGAATTGTATGCATATATCTATTTAAAGCTATGTTTGTATGCTATTTTTCATACAAAATCCATACAAAATTCATATTAAAAATGCTGAAGAGGTTTGAAAAGTCTAAGTGAAAATTTAGTACAAAAATGTATTTTTATATATTTTTTTGATTTTTAACCTGTAAGCCCACACCTGAAGCAAATGTAAGACTACAGACTTGGTTACTGTATTTGATAATTATTAGAGTAAATATGTATATTTCAAGATAAGATTTGTGCTCATAATAAATCTCATTCCAACCGAAGCAGTTCCTCCACACAATGATTTGGATCTGCTGTCAGTTTGCTCAATGCTCACATTCTTTTCAATCAAAAACTTATTAACAGATCTGTTTGTTTTGATGACGACACCAAATCTAAAAATAATATTTTACAAAATTTTTCTATTTTGTTGCTGTTGTTGTTGTAGTTGTTGTTGTTGTCGAAATTTCAGAAACGAGCGTCTCAATTAATTTGTGAATCACCGCAGCGCAACCGACGCCACGTTTGGCGTGAAGCAAATTTTTCGCTATTAGCAAGATTTTCCGACAGTTAGACGTGCTAGAATCGGAATAGTTTCCGGACTTATAAGGCGAAGTGACTTTGATCAGTCACTTTGAGAATTTGTTAAGACGTGCTTAAGCCGCGAGGCTAGCTTAGAAGCTTGCAACGAGCGTAGGAGTGGGAGTGGAGATTTGCTGTTGTAAGTTTTTAAAATGGAAGCAAACCGATAGCAAAAAACAATATAATTTTTAAATAATAAAAAATATTGCGAACAAAAAAGCTGTTCAGCAACTTTTGAAACAAATTTTAGAAAAATATTTCAGAATAGCAGCGAAATCGAAATACTTCAGTCGAGTTTCGAATTCCAAGCTGAGCGGTCAGAAATATTAAAGATTGAATTGAAAAAATTTTGAAAAATCCAGAATGCCACTTAAGAAAAAGGACGAGTATATTCCAATCAAATGCGAGGGTTGGGACGGTAAATTTCTTTATGCGCCGGGCACTACAAATAACGTCTCAAAAGTGCGTCGCTATAATCAAAATGTGACGGACACCTCAAATTTCTACGGTTTCAACACGGAGCCCACCGTCTTGCCAACCACTTGGGATGGTACCTTCGTGAAGAGTGGCGAAACACGTTTGAAACAGGAACGCAATCGCTCCGATGATTCCGAATACTTCCAGTACAACACCGATCCAACAGTATTGCCCACAACCTGGAACGGCGAATTTGTCCTGGATCCGAATGATGTGCGCATTAAGCCAGAAAGAAATTTCTCCGATGTGCGAGATTATGCTGAAGCAAGCCGTTTCAGACAAGTGAAATGATGGAAGAGCATCAAGTGAAAAAGGTTTATTGAGGACGAAGGGACGCAAAGAGTTCCACTTTATTATTTTGATTTTTTTTTCCAGTAGAAAATTGGTATTTTTTACTTCACTGAGTATCGCGTTCGTTTTTTTACTAACCACAAAAAGTGATAAAAGATTGTAAACCTTGCAGACTATAGACTAAGTTTACCGGCTTAAGTAGTGTAATTTAAAGAAAACAAAACGAAACAAATAAATAAATGGTTATAAACAAAAATAAATACAATTAATTTAAATATGAAAATATATGAAAGAAAATAATAAATCCCAAAAATTACAAAAATAATTTTTTTTATGTAAAAAATAATTATAATAAAAATCTTTTCCTGATTGCCGTATAAAAAATGTGAAAAAAATAAATTTTTCTTATAAAAAATTTAGTTATACAAATTTAAATATATATATATATATATACAAATATAAACTAACGTCGTCATTACTAATTTTTTTTGTTCCACAAAACATAAAACCGCTTTAAGCAAAAAAAAACAAGTTTCCTCATCTCTAAGCACTTTTTTGTTTATTAACTTTTAGTTTTGGTAAATATTTAAAAATAGAAATTGTTTAATTATTTAATAAAAATGAGTTTTAAACAATAAATTTTAATTTTAGCAACTAAATTGCTTTTTAATTTTATATTTTAACAAATTTTGTTGGAGACGCCTAAAGTTTGAGAACCGAAAACTTCGTGTGTCTACTAGATTATCAGCTGAGGGTACCGGGTAGACTGGGGGTGGGGTGTGTCTAATGACTTATCACTCAGTTGTTATCAGTCTTTACAGTCTACCTCTGTGTAAACACAGATAAAATATATTTAAATTTTTTGTGAAAATCGACCGAATTGTGGTAGTCCACATAGGCTTCAACATCATCGAGATATGCAGAATACAGAATAGAGCGTTCTTATTTATTAAAGAAAAACATACTTAGAATGTTTCTTTCTTGTTTATATGAACAGTGATGGACTAAATATACGAACATAGCGAGAAACTACTGTTTCTTCAAGAAACAGTCTTTAAAATTACTATTTATAGTGAAGAAGAAGTAAAGTATTTTTAATATGTAATTGGTTGTTAATCAAGGTTTTTCTTAATAAAATGGATTATAATAATTAATTTGGGGTCTGCAGAAAGTGGAAAGTGAGCTGCACTGACCCTCCTCCTTACTAAGCATTAGCATATATTTATATACCATGCATATAACATGAAAATAAAAACAAATTATTATGTACTTAAATTTATGTAATTATTAAAAAATAATTCATTAATTGCTAAATATACTTCATAATACCTTTTATTCCTAATGAATCTCTAGAATTGTTTTCCCAATGAATAAGTTACATTTCCATGATTTTATATGGTAATATTAATAAACTAATAAATTAAACTAAATTCTTAACAAAAACTATTGTTCTCAATAGAGAGGTTTTTATCCAACAGTAGTAAATTGCAACAACAACAATTTTTTTTTATTATTATGTTGAAGCTGTTTTGAGCCAGTGGACTTAAGCACTTTTACTCTTTTATAACTCGAGGTATTTTCAAAACCCCTCTATACACCTTGACTAGTTTATTGTTTCTCACTTCATCAGACTAAGCAATAATTGACCTCAAATCTGCATACCTTCCCTAGGAGCCTGTCACCATTTTGAGATTTGATAACGCGGTGTTGGTAAGTCTGTCAGTTTTCGCAAATAATTTCAGGGCTCTGTCCTTTATGTATTTGTTGATGGGATCAATCTTGAGGTCCCTGAGGTTGTCATTTTTTATTATTTTCTATTAATTGGCTGACCAAATGGTATATATCGATATTATATACCATGTATTAACTTTTTTTAAGACAGCTATGTTATTTCTTTTTTCTGTCCTAAGCTCTTAATAAATGTGGTTTTGTATTAGAGTCTCATAAGCACATCCTTTTTTCTTTAGCAAAGAGGAAAAGCATCGGAAGCCTAAGCCTGGTAGTGACTTAAACACTTGAAAAGAAGACTTTTCCGTCCGAACGAACAGATACACCCGGAAACATTGTTAAATATTTCGTCGAAAAAGAATATTTGATACATGCATATTATTCTTTATAGTACAATTCAGCGCGATATACTCATCGTTTTTCTTTTAGTCTTTAAGCGAAAGTTACAATTGTTTAGTTCATTGAGTAAATGGTCTTCCTCATCAGTGGACTTTCTCTTTCAAAACCAGTTGTTCCAAGGCAGTTTATCATTTCACTACATTGTCGTAGTTAATTGGATATTTATTAGTAATTACCTTTATTATTTTAATTTTTTATTTAATAACTTAAGCACGGAAATGTAATCTAAGCAGTCTATTAAATTCTCAATATTTTTCGATGTGACTACAATTCAAAAACTTCAATCTCCTGTTTGTCTCATAGTTGGGTACCTATAGCTAAAACCAAAGCATTTCGACCAGTAAATGTTTGATTTGGTAAAGGATCTATCTAATAGCGTGATAGAAGAAGAAGAGCAGAAGAAGGCCAACTGTCTCCAAAATAATCATATTCTATATATAGTATTGATATATTTTTTTGTAGCATCAGTTATGTCTGCAATATCTACTTTTTCAACTATATGGAAAGCATTAAAAGATATAGTGTCAGTCTGCAATCAACTCTCAGGAATGATGTCATAATAGATTTCATACATTAGATCTGAAGAATCTTGAGCTCAAGCCTATTCGAGTAAGCAGAGGATGAAAAACTAGAGAAGAGTATACTATAGAAGAGTATACGTAAATTTAAGTAAGCCGGTGGGTAAGAAGCTATTACATGTAAGCATGTTAGTTGAATATATACTATACTAATATATATATATACATAAGTGTATAATAATGTACAATTTCTTTTGAATCAAATTACAGTGGCATCGTTTGATATCTGATATAAACCGAGTGGGTAAACAGGATGCGAAATAAAAAGACGCGCAGTACGTTCAAAAAATATTGTAAATTTTATATATACTATATACCATACATACATTTAATACTATTAAAAAAAATATGTTATTAAAAATATGATAATGTATTTAAATATTTATATTCATTATGTTTTTATTGCACTTCCCTTTCCCAATCAGAGCTAAATTATCATATGATTTTGGCTCATTGTTGGGATCTACTTTCTACCAGCGCAGAGTCAACTACGTCCTACGACGTTGTCATTTATGGCTCATACAGTTAAATATTGTTTTTATTTTCTATTATATAAATTCAATTAAATTTAATTTTAAATTAAAGTAAAAATGTGTGGGATTTGTTATTAGTCGAACGTCACAATCGCTGCACAATATTTGCTTCCATTTAAGGCCGTCAATTATGGCAACTCTGCTTCGAAGCCGCAGAGTGGAAGGAAATTACAAAAAAAAAAAAATAAATTATAAATCTAGTTAATTAAAGCAAATTGTTTTGATTTTGTTTTCTATATTCAATTAAATGTTTTGAAATTTAATTATACTGTACTTGGAAGAAAATGAACTTGATATAAAGAGTTAATTAGAGTAAAGCCTTCAGCTATGCAATTATATAGTCAATATTTTCGACGACTAGAACCACTCTTTTTTTATTTATTTAAATTTTTAATATTTTAATATCAATTTATTGCCATAAATAAGTAATTCCAATACAGGTGTTTGGTTACTAGTTTATTAAAATTTTTTTCCATAGTCTTAGGTTAAATTAGGTTAGATCAAGTAGGAGTGCCAGCCTTGTGCACAAAAGCTCTTTTGAGCATTTGGGCTAGTTAAGATATCATGGATAAGACAGAGTCTGTATGCGAGACCCTAGGGATCACTTTAAAAGTAGAAGTCTCAAATGTATAGTGGATGAACGGCGTCCCTTTGGAAAGAGCCCGACTCCTGACTGTACTCGAATGAAGTACAGTTTCCTTATCATCCGCAGAGCCACAACCCTGACAAATGTCGTTAGAGGGTAAGCCAAGTCTTATTGCATATTTTCCGAATCAGCTGTAATCTGTCAGCTTCGATATCGTATTATGAGTTGGGCACCTTCGTTGAAGAAGCTCACTGGTACTGATGATACTGCCAAGTTTGTCGTTTAGTTTGGAGACGTCAGTATAAATTTCAACAACGTTAACATAGAAATCTGTCTAATAACCTATTTAATTTAAGCAAAAATTAAATTTTAAACTTTGTCATTGTATTCTTCTTTCCGAGCCTTTTGTGGACCAATGCTTCCACAATCAAAGTGTTTCATTTTTCATGATTTGAGTTGCGCCTCAAATCACATGCCACTTGCATGTGATGTATTTCGTATATAAGTATGCCCAGGCAAAAGCCAAAAATTTACTTCGGAAGGAGATTTCCGACAATTTCCGGAATTCAAAAAACAATGCTTTCTTAACCCTTATAGGCTTTCCCTAATAGAGGGGAAATATATTTGAATTCTGTCCCCTATTAAATGACTTCACTTTATTTTCCAAAGTACTTTTCATTCATATAGCAAAAGGTATATGTACCTAGGTGGTCAGTTGATAGAACAAATAAACCTTCTTAATATATATTTCAAAAGAAGACATATGGCTTCATGACTGAATGTATTAACATCGCCAACTTAAATAAATGGTGTGGTTGTGGTGCTTAAAATCGCAAATAATTATAGTACCCAATATTGTACAATTAATTTGATAATAAAATAACAAGTGACAAAGTATGATATATCCAGATATCACTCATTCTAAATTCCACTAAAAGGTCTTTCGCGATTTTATTTTTCATTTGAAAACTTGTTATTTATATACATTTATATATGCTATAAACTCTTTTAGTGTGAACTGACAGTTCCAATGAACTCCTGATATCACAATTATCTACTGCTGTTAAGGTTGCGGTTATTAAAGTTACGTATTCTGTTCTTCTGATAATAATTCGATAAGACAATAAAAAACACAGTTCCAATTAATTTAAACTTTTTAACAATGAATGAATAAATGACGATTTGTTTACTTTAACAAGATTTTTATGTTCCAGTGCAAGTTCACATTATATTTGTTTTTGTCTGTTAAGAGAACTTTGTTTATGTTAATATAGTGATTAACATAGTTAGTGTTTGTGTGTCCAAAAGTCTTTACAAAATCTAGCCAGTGTAGCCAAACCCTGTATCGTAACTATTTACCTAACACCTTATATATTATATTTATCTCTTTTCACTTTTCACTTCTCAATATCTATAATTCTATCAATAGACATATTAATGATA